CAGGCTCCAGGCTCCGAGCCATCAGCCCAGAGCCCGACGCGGGGCTCAAACTCACAGACCGTGAGATAGTGACCTGGCTGAAGTTGGACGCTTAACCGACTGCGCCACCCAGGCGCCCCTGGTTTTATTTTTAAATAATCTTCACACCCAATGCGGGCCCTGAACCCACAAAACTCCAAGATCAAGAGCTGTACGTGCTGCTAACTGAGCCAGCCGGGCGACCCAGGACGGCACTCTTCTTCCACATGACGACCCGGGAGAGAGGTCACTCCACTCCGACCCCTCTCGCACCACGAACCTGGGGCTCCCGGGCCGCTTCTGGCCCGGGCGCCTGTCGCACACGCCCGCGTCCAGCACCAAGCATGGCACCAGCCGGCTGTGAGACGGCGAGAGTGGGCTCCCGCGACGCAGTAACAGCAGGAGACGCGCACCACACATGCTGGGAAAACACGACTCCAGACCCAACTGCGAGACAAGCCGCCCCTTTGGTAAGAGGCTGCAAAGGACCCTCGTGCACGCCCAGCGGGACAGCAGAGCCGGAGCCACAGGAGGGCAGAGGAAGGTTACGCAGACGCTCGGGAGGGCAGGAGGCGGCCTGCGAAGTGGCCACCGGGGCGGAGAAGAGAAACACAACACGCAACCGGAGGCCTCGTGCCCTCAATGCGCAAGAGAAGCCCAGGCAATCGATGACGAAAACACAGGCAGAGCAACAGAAAAGTGGGCAAGAGAGCTGACCAAGCCCCCACTACCGACGTGTGATGCCACCGGACCCACCACCTGCTGGCCGGGGAGGTGGGGGACGGCAGCCCAGGGGGCAAAGACAGAGAGGGCCAGGCACCGCAGACCCCCGTGTGAGACCCGGAGCCGACCGGGCGCCGTCGCGAACGCTGAGGGTCCGCACAAGTCCACTGGAGCCAGGACGTCCGCGCGGGATGGCAAGCCTGGCTCGGTCCAGGCTACGAGCTAGGTCACAGCACCGACGGCAGCCAGGGGACACCAAAAACATCCCAGTGGGTGAGGGCGCGAGACGAAGCTTCTTGGTTCCCCCACGTGATGCTCGTGGCGTGACATATCCTCGCACCACGGGAGCGCACGGCAGGGGTGGGGTGCCGCTACGGGGCTCGGGGCTCGCAGAGGGGCCAGATGTCCCTGACCATGCATGTGCTCTGGGAGCTTTCGTTCACATTTTACATTCTCAGGAAAAGGTTACAAAAGAACAAAAAATGCAAACCACTCAATAGAAAATTGCACAGATTGTGGCAGGAAAAGGGATTGGGGTGGGGGGGACAACAGACCAGGGCTCAAGGGTGTGGGGACACGGCCAAGGACTGACATCAATCCAGTGCCACGTCCCTGAGGCTCAGAACAACAGACGAGTATCAAAGTGCGAGCAAACACGACGTCCCCCCCAACTTCCTGCCACGCAGATGACGACCCTTGACACAGTGCTGTCACCCGCAGCTTCGACGCGCGGCTCGAGTTTACGTGGAGGCCAGCCGTGAGCCAGGCCCTTGCAACATGCTGAGAGAACATACAGAGCAAGGCAGACGTGGCCCTGCCCCCGAATAGTGTGTGTCCTAACAGGGGGGACAAGAGACAGAAGCAGATAATGAATGAGACCGTCACAAGCTGTATTAATGTCACGCAAGGTACTGATGAGAGGCAGAGAAGCAGAGCGTCAACGGGGTACCCGGTCTGGACAGGCAGTCAGGGTCCGCGGGCCCTTCTGAAGGAGGCACATGTGAGCTAAGAGCCCGGCAGGGTGCAGGGGAGGGAGCCCCCCGCTCCAGGACACCCGGGGTGGCTGAGCAGAGAGCTCACTACAGTCCGAGCAGGGG